ACAACAGCAAAACGTTCTTCCTAGTTCACTGCTGCTTAAGTGTTTTAGCCTTAGAGTAAGGTGTTTTTACAAAAAAGGCCAGGCACAGGTGGCTCATGCCTATAATCCTAGCGACTCAGGATGCTGAGATCTGAGGATTGTGGTTCAATGCCAGCCCAGACAGGAAAGACTGTGAGACTCTTAATCTCCAATTAACCACCAGAAAACCAGAAGTGGCACTGTGGTTGGAAGTGGTAGAGCACTAGAGTAAAAAAAACTCAGGGACAGTGCCCAGGTCCTTACTTCAAGCCCATGTCCCAGGAAAAAAAAAATCAGAGCTTTTATACCAGCCAGCCCTGATTGGAATAGATGGGAGGACTTGGAGTTCCTATACAGAACAAGGGAACTCAATTACGGTCATAATGAGTAGGAATTTACTCGAAGCTTTATTATTATTACTATTACTATTTTTCCTTTAGAATTATTTTAGTTTCTTTAAGTAGTTGTACAAAGGGTTTCAGTTTCACATATCAGTTTATGAGTGCAATGCATCTTGATCAAAGTCACCTCTTTCCACCATTTCCCCCAACTCTCCCAACCTCACACATCCTCTCAATTTTCCGTTTTCACATATACATTGAATATTATAACTGCGTTTTGCTACCTTCCGCTCTTCACTCATTGAATGAGTTCGCTGCATTGGATGGGTGTCTGTCAGGCCCATCTGTATGTAGGGCAGCATCCTTACTCTGTTATGTCTACTATCCCAAGATTGCTCCAGGTACCCACTTGGTATTCCTTCTTCCCGGGCTCCCTGATTCTTCAAATTAGGCCCCTTCATACCAAAGCTGAGAAGCAGTCAAAGGAAATCCCCCAGATCCAGGCAGGGCTGGAAACGGGGTGGAGGGAAGCAGAAATAGGGGGTGTGTGTAGGCTCGGAGCTGGGAGTGGCCTGAGGATATGTGTGTCGTACTCTCCCTCCTGCACCACTTGGGGAAGAGACCTCCTTCTAACAGGGACTCCTCTGTTGTTGTGGCTCAGAGCTCCACTTGAAAAGCATAGTTTCCCAGTGATGCCACTGGATTCCTGATGTGTGACACCGCAGGGCAGCATGGTGAAGGGCGCTGTTGACTGCCTTGGGACCCCAGACAGGGACACCATTGTGAGTCACATTGAACATGTGAGCTCCCCTTTCCCAGGACTGGTGCTATTCTTAGTACAAGTCTCTCCTCCCTGGGACAAAGGTCACTGGGACCACAGTCCATGTGGGTAGATGGATGAGGCGGGCATGGTGCAGGGAGAATGGAAGAAGGAAGCACTTGGAGCAAGGGCAAGAGAAGGAAGCCTGGAGCCCCATGAATTTGAGCAGATGCACACTTCCTCTAGGGGGATTGTAACCAGGAGTACAAGACTCATTGTTTCCACAAGACTTGGAGGCATAGACTTGGATGTGGGGGGCAGATGTGTGAAGCCAGCAAGCATTGCAAACCCAGAGCTGCCTTCATTCCACATGTTTCCAGCAGGGCCCCAATTTCTCCTCCAGATCTGAGTGAGGGCAACAGGTTGCTGTAGAAAAGCCAGAATTCTTCTTGCCTTTGTGGCCAGATGAGCAATCTGCATCTTTCCAGTGGCTCTTCTCCCCACAACAGAAGGGCAATGTAGGGATCAGTCAAAGGGCACAAGAGAAAGTTTCCACAGGCTCATAGATTCCCCTATACAGGTTGCAACAGCCTGAGCTCTTGGAAGGTCTAGAGCCCTGTGTGTGCCTTTTAGCCAAATGAGCTTACTAGAGTTGTCTGCAAGAGACCTGGGCTGGAGATTTTTGCTAATTGCCCCTGTGGTCACGTTCCACTGATGGCCCCAGTGGCTACTTTCCAATTGAGGTACAAAACTGTTCCATTGTATGCCTTCCTTGGACTGCTGCTCTTCCTGCTTCTCTTCCCTTCTTTCCTTTGGTATAAATGGAAAACTAAAACAAAAAAGAGTTCATGAGCATAGCACCTAAAACTTGATTCCCAGTGTCTAAATTGAACATTTTTGTGTGCCTTTGGAAAAACCACAAAGGTTCACTCAGGCCATCTTTACAGACAACTGGGGTCAGAAGCACAGGGAGGAAGAGCCAGAACATCGGACTCTTTGACATTTCAGTTTGGGAAATGCTACTGCAGAAGAAAAATGGCAATACTACTTGCCTCTGAAGGTCTGTCCTCTGAGCTGGTGTTTGTATCTGCTACATGGCTGTGACCCAAGGGCAGGAGACTGTCTGTCCTCAGATCTTCCTTACTGTTCTCTGACAATGGTGAGGGCTGGGTTTCAAGATCTATACCAAGCTTTCCTCAGCTTTGCCTCCAAGAGATTGAAGATGGTATGATAGAGGTTCCAAGGTAAATAGTGGGAAGGAGAAATAATGATGTAACACAACTTAGCCATTTTAAGAGAACCTGATTGCCTTCAGCTGTAGAGGTAAAGGCCAAGGCTAGGAGGCAGTACCTTTAGAGTCCTGTGACTGGAAGGTATGATGCCTTTTAAAACTAGGACCTTTTATCCCTTGGTCACACGTTGGTTTGGGCAATGTAATGTTGGGAGAAAGTGAAGACCCAGATTGCCAGGGTAGAAGTCCTAACTACTCTATCTCTGATCTAAATGGCCTAAGTTCAAGTTAGATAGCAGACAGGGTATCAGTTTTCTTTGCTATAATGACAAAAAAAAAAAACTCAGGTAGAATTGGAATAGCACCACCCCACAGAATTGTGGTGAGGAGTTATAAGATAACTGGAAAGCATTCTTAGTGTCTAATGTAGAAAAGGTGGCTCCTGTTAGATTTGTTTTCTGTGAAGGATCTTAAAGGAATTCCCACCCCATATTCAGTCTGCAGTGTTGATGCAGGAGTGGCCTAATTTACAGAGTTTGGGGCTACCTGGCATCTCTCTTCAGGAGTGTTAACTTCTTACTTGTCTGTAGTTTCTGAATGCAGTCAGAAAATTGTGAATGTCATTAGGTAAAACAGTGTCTCACCTACCAGGTACATTAGACCTTCCCAAAGGATTCTTTGTATCATGCTGTGTTTAGTTTTGCAAGACCAGAAAGGAAGCAGTAGCGGCTGGCCTTACTCAACTCCCAAGAAACCTGTGTGTTGTGAACCAAATGAATTTTTTTAAACAACAGGTAGACATAGGAAGTGAAGGTTTTACCAGTGGAAATCCATTTCTTAGCGTGTTAATTTACTTTTGCTTTACTAAGTATGTCCATTCATTTAAGCAACATCAGTTGGTGAGTCTTTTTATTCTTGAATATGAAAAAGACATTTTTAGCAAGAGGGATAGGAAGAAGCTATACGCACATTCTCGGAAAAATAATTTGGATTCCATGCTTAGCTTGGGTATGTGGAGGAGGGGCACAAAGAACCACCATTGGGATACAGCTCCTATTATATGAAGGTTTCATAGTAGCATGGTTTTCAGTAGCATGGAAATGCTAAACTCAACCTGTGGCCAGCTCAGCATGTTAACAAGCCTTGAAAAATAATAATAAATTATACCTACAGACCACAAAGGACATTTTGTTCTTAAGTAAGAGGAATTTTAAGGCTTGTTACCCGATGAATCTCTGTATACTTTGGGGCAAACACATTTGAAGATTAGAGCCATAGAAAGTCAAGTTTCCAGAGCTGGGCATAGTGGCTTATGCCTCTAATCTCAGCTACCTCAGGAGGCCGATATGAAAGTTTGAGGCAAACTCAGGCAAAAAGTTAGTAAGACCTCCCCCAAAGAAAAGCTGGATATGAGCCAGGTGTCGGTGGCTCACCCCTGTAATTATAGCTACTCAAGAGGCTGAGATTTGAGGATCATAGTTCAAAGCCAGCCCAGGCAGGAAAGGCCATGAGACTCTTATCTCCATTAAACCACCAGAAAACTGGAAGTGGCATTGTAGCTCAAGTGTTAGAGCACTAGCCTTGAGCTTTAGAGCTGAGGGACAGCGCCCAGGCTCAGAGTTCAAGCCCCACGACGGACTTGTTTATGGCTGTGTGTGGCCTTGAAAGGTGGAGTGATGGTGGAGAGAAGCATCATGACATCCTGTTGTCTGTTTCCTAGTAAGGGGATCTGAGATCAGGATTCTTCTTGTTCATAGATCAGTGGCCTTCCTTCTACAGAGGAGTGCTTTTAAGCATCAACTTCAGTTTAGAATTGGCAAACATTCTCTAATGAGTAGGGGCTCTTTCTTCTTAGGCAAACAATAATGACCAGGGTTTGCAAGGCTACTGATCAAGCTTCCTAGAGTCTACCAAGTTTCAGTCAATACATTTGTAACCACTTACATACCACCCAGCATGTTTATGCACTGATTTATAGGCAAATTTGAGACACCACAAATGAGGGAAAGCACGCAACCAGTGTAATTCCTTAGACAAATCAAAGCCCCCCAAAATAAGCAGTAGGGAATGATGGGCTGGGCCAAAGGGAGAGGGATAGATGAATCAAGGGACAGAGATTGGGATGGAATGCGCTCAAGAATTAATTGCATATACTATAATAAAGTTAAGAAAAGTTAAGAGAAGGGGCTGGCCAAAGCGGGATGAAAATATTGAAAGGGGTAACATTGATCAAGATGCATAGTATTCATAAACCTAAATGACACTTCCTTTGTACAACTATTTAAAAATAATAGCAAAAAAAGATAGGATTCCTGCAGTCAAATGCTCTACTACTGAGCTATACCCCGGTGCCAAAAGATAGGATTCCTATCTCAGAAGGCAGACCCTCTATTTCTAGCATTTTCTCAGCAATTAAAATGGACTGACCTTTATTTAAATGAATCAAAAATAAGGCAATTGCTATATTATCTGTTTTTGTCTTTGGTCTTCATCTTTTGTGTCTGTCTGAGCTCAGTACATAATCCCCCCACTCACCACCTGCAGCTGCATTTTCTCCTGGCCGGGAGAACAGGGGATACAATGTAATGGGATTAGTGACTAAGAAAGATGAATATGGGTTGCGAGGATTCAGGATGCCTTATGTTTGCAGGCAGTGGACCCATCCAGCTGTGGCAGTTTCTTCTGGAATTACTCACTGATAAATCCTGTCAGTCTTTTATCAGCTGGACAGGAGATGGCTGGGAATTCAAGCTTTCTGACCCAGATGAGGTAAGAAAAGAGCAACAAGAGAGCTCTGGGCTGCGGGAGGATAGGGGTAAACCCTGGGAGGGATTTAAATGGGTCTGGATGACACTTCCTAGGACCAAAGTCTTCACTCTGTGACTTGCTCCTTGTGTGACTTTGAGCCAACTACTCAGCCTGACTGAGCCTTCATTTTATCATTGGAAAACAGCAAATATCTACACTGCCCATTTGTTTCCCAAGATTAACTGATAGTACACAAAATGAAGTGCCTGGCACAAGATAGGCCCCTCAAAAATAATTGCGTTCTTTGGCTTAGCTCTCTTTCTAGCTCTGTAGCTCTGTGCATGTGCAAGGGGCCAGACAGTTCAAGAGACCTTGGAAGATTGATGTAATTTGTTCATTCATTCATCCTTTCATTACACAAATGCTTATTGAGTGGCTGATCTATGCCATACCCAATTCAGCTGATAAAAAACAATGAACAAGAGGGACAAGCTCTCTTTCTGGCAGACATGAGAAAGTGTTTGTGCCCTGGGACAGAAGTGATGCTTCCTGTTGATGAAATGCAGGTGTGATTTCAGCTTAGCTCTTCCTCTCCACACTCTCCTGTTAGATTTCATGCTTTCAAAACAAGTATACCCCATTAAACATATAGAGAAAGAGCCTGGAGTGTGGTTCTTTGCTGTTTTTCCTCCTAATCAAATACTTTTAAACCCCATTACATAAAGAGTTCAGCTTACTACATTTTCACCAACTTAGTTAAAATGGCCACTATCCCTTGAAAACTAGAATTCAGCAACATGAATGTATCAGTAGAAGTGGGCATTATATTTAGTGAAATAAACCAGGCCCAGAAAGACAATTGTCATGTGTTCTCACTTTCTATATGTGGGTCTCATGGAAGTAGAATAGAAGAGTGGCGGGAAAAGGGTTGGAGAGAAGATAGACCATGAGCACAAGCGTTTAATTGGAGAGGAGGAATAACTTTCCATGTTGTTGTTCATTTCCAAATAAATAATCTTTTCAACTGCTAGAAAGGCCCCACAGAGAGTAACACAAATATCTGTTGTGGCAGACAAGCCTGTGATCCTGATCTGATCATGCCACATTGTATATCCATGTACTGGCCAGTCACACCGGACCCTCTAAATAGCTACAGTTACTATGCATCAATTAAAAATTAAAATACTAGCCAGGTGCCAATGGCTCATGTTGGTAATCCTAGCTACTCAGGCATATGCTCGGGATGGCAGTTCAAAGCCAGCCCAGGCAGGAAAATCCATGAGACTCTTAACTACCAGAAAACCAGAAATGATGATGTGGCTCAAAGTGGTAGAGTGCCAGCCTCAAGCAAAAAAAGCTCAGGGACAGCACCCAATCCCTTAGTTTGAGACCCATGACCAACAACAAAAAAAATACATAAAATATTTTTAAAAGGAAAGAGTGACATTGATCAAGACACATTATATTCAAACTGATGTGTTGTACGATCCCTTTGTACAATTACTTAAAGATAATTAAAAAATTGGCCTCTGATCCTCCCATCTGAGTCTCGATGGGCCATGATGGGTATTGGAACACATGGTTTTGGAATACCTGTAGAGTTTTTCCCTCTCTCTCTCTCTCTTTTAAAAATTTGATTTTCTTTCAGGTGGCTAGGAGATGGGGAAAGAGGAAAAACAAACCTAAGATGAATTACGAGAAACTGAGCCGTGGCCTACGCTACTATTACGACAAGAACATCATCCACAAGACGGCGGGTAAGCGCTACGTGTACCGCTTTGTGTGTGACCTGCAAAGCTTGCTGGGATACACCCCTGAGGAGCTCCACGCCATGCTGGATGTCAAGCCGGATGCTGATGAGTGATGGACAGGAAAGGGCAGAGCAACTCATCTGAGACCTTTCGAAGAACAACCGCATTGGTCGGACTCTTTAATTTTTAATGGTTATTCTATTTTTTATTTTCCAGAACTCATTTTTTAAAAAATGTTGTTTTGTTTTGTTTTTTACATTCAGGGGTGGGAGCTAAGGGAGCTGCAGCTGTAATCCATTGTGCAGTGGCTGGAAATGGAAAGCCAGGACTGGTGGGGTGGGGTGGGCAAGGACTTGTAGGGTAGATTTTCAAAGTAGAGAGAGCGGTCTTCTTAGAAGCTTGAAGGATCTGACGTAAGGGAGGAAGAGATTAATGTGTCCAATCATTTTTTAAAAAATCATCCATGAAAAAACATCCGTCTTCAATTGTGGACCCGTTAGCAAGAAAAGTTGTCACATCAAGTCATGGGACATGATGATGATGATGATGATGATGATGATGATGATGATGATGATGATGATAACAATGAATTTGCTTTTGCTTTAAATCATGGAAGGGAAAAAAAGAAGGAAGGAGGGTGGGCTAAAGACAATTTTCTTTGGGGGATGCACTTAAAACCAAGAATTTATATACTTCACTCTGCTTTTCAAAACAAAAGTGGATTTCTGGGGGGAGGGGCCAAAATTGTTTTTGTGTTAAAATTTATTCTATTACATTTTGTGCCAGTATTTTTTTTCTTAAAAATCGTCTTAAGCTCTAAGGTGGTCTCAGTATTACAATATCGTGAAAGTTTGTTCTTATTTGCTGGCTGAGGACTCTGTTACAGTGGAAGAAAACTTTTTATATAGACCCCATTGGAAAAGCAAAGCTCTGTTGCTGAGGTCAGAGATTCATTCCCAAGTTCATGTGACTTAGATAAGAAGAAGATGGTCATGCTAAACTGAGTAGAGGGAGACAGTGCATGCAAATCTCACTGATTATTTTATGTTTTAGAAATTGTCACACTCCCATAACTTACGTTTCATTAGAAGATTCTCGGGGTTTGGACTTAATGCTGAGCTGAGACACATTAAGTCTTTGAAATTGAATGTATTTTGCAGCCCTGATTTTGAACTATAGTTGATATAGAAGCACTGTTGAAGTGGAGGAAAGGAAATTGAATGAGGAAGATTAACTTGGTTCTTGATTCATTCTCTACCTGTAACCTAGATGACTTGGAATAAAAGCTGTATGAATGGGCATTTTTCCTCAGGTTGTAAGAAGTCTTGAGTGCATGTTTGTTTTTGTTGTTATTTTTCTCTCCCCAACTAATGCTGTATAATTCCTTCTTTGTGCCTACTTTTCCCAGCGTCCCACATTTGTTGATCCATCCCCACTCTGATTATTCAGCAGAGCAAAATGTACAGCTTTCTTTCTGATATGTCAGCGAGAGTGTGCCTTCAGAGACAACGTGAATTGAAGACTTGCTGGGTTTTGAAGGCATGGAAATTCAGAGGGAATTTCAGTCAAATGCGAGGGGGCTGTCTTTGAGAAGGGTTAGGCAAGGTTTTCCTTTGAAGAACTAAAGCTAGTCAGGTAGTATATCAGATGAGAGACTTACATTTACAAAGGAAATAGTTCAGACTGTGGTGAGGCCTCATGCTTGAATCTGTTATCTTGGCAGAGGGTAAGTGAAGGTTAACTGCAGAAGGGATGAATGATTGGAAGGCAGAGGACACAGGGCAGGCGCTTGAATGAAGGAAATAAGTGGTCCATAGGATATGAATACATTTTTAGTTCCCCCAATGTTTGAAATACATAAATATAGTTAACTGAGGCAGTCATCTATTTGTTGGTTGTGTGTATATGTGTGTTGAGTGGGGGGATCTGAGAAAGAGGTTTAGGGGTAAAACTTAACATCAAACCATTGAACTAGTAAGGAAACATACTTAATATGACTCGAATTCATCATATGTATACATATATGTATGTATATATACACATACATACATATATACACACACATAAAATCTCCAAGTTAAAACGAGAGTGGACTTCATGAAAGAGGAGAACAGTTAGATGAATGTCTCAGGGCCGGCCCTTTGTGAGACTTAGCTAAGAAACTGGAAGTACTAACTACCTTCTAGCAAAAGAGAACTTTTGCTAACTCCTAGACCCCCATGCAGATCCTGGCCTATCAGGAACATGGCACTGTATGCTGACCAATGGGAATGTCCACACAAACAGCAAAGGCAGAGTGGCCCAGCTGTGCAGGTGCCTTAATGAAGCTCTCAAAGTATTTGAGGAGCTGCTCAGGGAGTGTTAGGTGGCATCATTTGGACTACATTGTTTTCTCTTATAATTACGTGATCTTTGTTGGGCACTGGTCAAATGTGTGTGTGTGTGTGTGTGTGTGTGTGTGTGTGTGTGTGTTCAGACATGCAGAACCACAACTAAAATAATAACTGCATTTTCTAGTGAAGTCTTCTCCACATTTCAATAACAGGTAAGGGTAGAACCAAGGCTAGGTATTGTCTTCACAGGCATATAATCACTCTAAATCATCAGCTTTACCTATTCCATTTATATTGAAAAACTCCCCTTTGGTGATTCTAATACCTGCAACCTCAGTAAGCAGGTAAGATGTGAGAGAAATGCCCCATCCACGCTCTCCTCAGCTCACTTGATTGCTAAGATACTCTTTCTCCCTAGATCCGCCATTTTCAGGAGTTGTAGATAATGTGTTAGTTCAGACAGCTTTGTCCATCTGGCCACTTGTTTTCTTTTTGTTCCCCCCAAAGGCCAGAGACCACTCCAGGAAGAATAAGTGGGTGGTTTATACACTGGAAATGTAGCAGCATCATTGCATTTATGCTTTTTATTAAAAATAGAAAACAAAAAAAATCACATATGCTAACTTCAGAGGCAGGATGGGCAATTCTGTTCAAGCTGGACGACACTGTATCTTCCCCATCCCAGAGAAGTTTCAACTTGTGTGGGTTTGGGCTTTAGGGCTCAATAGTCACATGTTCCTCCTCCATGCAGGAGAGGGGTTGCCTTACAGAGAGCCCTGATGTGGTAGCTGTGGGGACTGGAGATAGCATTGAACAATCAGATGTGCCCTTCCTCACTTTGGAGATGAACACTCTGGGTCTTAGAGCATTAACCTGCATAACTTTCATGGTGAGGAATATACCTTCTCTTCTGCCTTTCTGTGCATGCTGCTTTCTCTGTTGGGGTCTATATAAATCTGTTGAACTCTGAACATACATTCCAAAGAAGTTTCAAGGAACCATTAAGTATATGTATACATATACATATATGAAATAGCTATAGAAAAATGAAATGATCTCTATCAGGAATACTACTTCAGTTATTGAGCTTTTTATTAAGGATACTTTTTTTTAAGCTGAGAAGTATTCGGGTAAAAAAAAAGATGTTATATTGTGTTTGACTATTTTCCAACTTGTATTTTCATATAATTTATATTTTTTAAAAGCTGAAAATTTAAAAGCAAGATTTAAGAAAAAGGAAAAGCAGGTGCTTTTTTAAAAAAATCAGAACTGAGGTAGCTTAGAGATGTAGCGATGTTAAGTGTCTTATGTGTTTTTTTTTAAACAAATGCAAAAAAAATTCTTATGGGGGAGTTTTTGTTTATTTTAGTAGTTGATGCTGGCACATCATTTTGCTGGAGAGTTTTTTATATACTGTAGCCTGGTTTCATATTGTATTTTAAACTGTGTGAAAATTAAAAAGAAAAGAATTTCATTCATAATGATGTGGCTTTGGTTTGATTCTTTCCTGTCTGGAGGGTGTAATAAAATTAGGACAAACTAACCAATCAGAATGAAGTAAGACAAATTAGCCTATCAGAGACCAGCACAAGGGAAAAAATGCAGCACAGTCTTCCTGACTTTGCCAGCTCAGGACCATTTCAGATAAAGATTTTCTGATACAAGGTGAACCCTAATAGGATTATAAGGAAGTCATCTAAGATCCCAATTAGTACAAATAATATGTCATCCTTTGTGGAATGTCCTTGGCTTTGTCATACCTCACTTGTTCCTGTCTGAGAGCTACAAGAATAAACATTTTTATGGCTTAACTGGAGGACATTTGACTTCAGCTAGAACAGTTCGTGATGTTAATATAGAAAGTTTAATGTCATGGATGCCCCGGACAGAGAACAGAACAACATTTTGTTTCTTCTTATAACTTTGCTCTGTGCTAATGTAAGCCTATCACCTCAATTCTTGTGGCTCCACATTTCACTGGGGCTGAAAATTAGGGAATGATAATATCTGTCAGAACCTCCTCAACCCAGGAACCCATGTCATAAATAAAACACATATTTATAAGTTCTCTGGAGAATGAATGCTCAGGAATGCATTTTGCACGGTGCCTTTTCCTCGTTGAAACTGTAGAAGGTGGATGTTTTTAATTAACACCAACATTTACAACATGAATCTCAACTCACAGCTGGAAAGAGAATTTTTGCTGATTTGTTCACAAAGAGAGTTCTGTTTTTTATTTTATTTTTGGTGGGGGGAGGAATCTCCTTCTTTGGGCCTAAAACTTGAGGTTTGCTGAGTACACGCTAAACAAGGATTGTGTGGTCTAGTGGTCAGGGAGCCCATTTGGCCAAGAAGGCTCTGGCCTTCATTGGGTGAGTGGGAGAAATGGTTTTGGGTCCTCATACGTTTTAGTCTTCAGCTGCAAACCTGAGCAAAACCACAACTCCTGAGCTAACCTGAGGCCACATCTGAGATCTTCTCCCTTTAAATCAACAGCTTACAGAGAGCACATTTCTGCCTCAGTCAACATTTTGGTCAGAGAGCTGTCCTTCAGTGTCAAGTTGGTATTGTCCTTTAGAATATCTAATTTCATGCTGACCAGGGTGTACTTGAATGAAATCGATTTAGGCCTGTGTCTCAAACTAGCAGCTAGAATTATAGTGGGATGTTCTCAACAAAATGGTCATTGGTAGTTTCTTTCTTTTTTTTTTTTTTGGGTCCGGTCGTGGGGCCTGAACTCTGGGCCTGGGTGCTGTCCCTCAGCTCTTCAGCTCAAGGCTAGCACTCTCATTGGTAGTCTCTTAATAATGTTTCTGAGAGCCTCAAATCCAAGCCACAGCAGAGGGGTCAGGAGGAAAGATGACATCAACAATCGCAGGATTTAGGAGGATGAGGTAGTGTGAATGAGAAGGAGACCCAGGGGAAAGGTAGGTGGGGACAGCTCACACACAAAAGATAGTGGTCAAAAATCTATAGATTTCATACACTTTCTGAAGATGGTGGACAAAAAACATTGGCCAAGTCCACGTACTCCTCACTTTGATAGGTTTGGAACAAATTATAGACCCAAAGCTCTGATACCTCTTTCCCTGCCCCCTCCCCAAATTGAGCAACAACAGTGCTCTGTCTGTTTTCTGTTACTATCACAAAATAATCAAAAGTTAGATCCTAAGTTCATAGTTTTGGAGGCCAAAGTCCAAGATGAGTAACCTTTTCTGCAGACGTGGGCTGGGAGAGCTAACTCATAATGGCCAGGCTAGCCTGGTGGTGCATGTGGGAGAGAGATAGCTCACGTAGTGAGACTGAAAGTCAGAAGAGTGCAGGAGTGGGGGATGCGCCCTTTAAAACAAGTTTCATGAGAAGGAACACATTTTTTTCAAGGCCAGCTTTAATTCCTTTCCAGGTAGGTAGTACCCCGATGACTTAACACCCTCTCATTAGGTCTTGCCTCTTAAAGGTTCTATGTGTTAACACTGGGGACCAAGCACGTAAACTTTTGGAGAACACACACACACACACACACACACACATGATAATCCTACACAACAAGGGCTTTCTAAGAGAGTGAAGTGCAGAAGGAGATAGTAACTTGTGCTTTGGGCAAGAGGAGGGAGAGAATATAAATAAGGTAACACACAAGAACATTCCATGACAATTGCTTCATTTGGCCTTCACAGTGTTGGATCTACCCACACAGCCCGCATGAATAATGTCCCACAGTAGCAAAGTGGGGTGGTCTTTGAATTTGGACCCTCAGTCCTCCATGGGTGCTGAATAAGCTGTCTTTCACATATGAACTTATATCTGCCATTTTATTTCTGGTATGCAAGCACCGCACTCATTATTATCCCTGCCCAACCCTTATAGAATTTGAGTTTGTGACCTTCTCCATAGCTATCTGTCCACAGACCCTATTTTCTTGGCATGAATTCTAGAATCACCAGTGGAAGGGAGTACAAGAGGTCATCAAGGTCATCAGAGAGCCATCTGATTTCTAAGCCCTTGTTCTTTCCATTACACCATGTTGCTGCCATACAACTTGAATGATCTTCTTTGACGAAGCTGGGTGACAGCTCCCCCAATGTGGGAGAGACAGCTCTGGTTACTTCAAGTTATATTTCAGCCACTAACATTGGTTGAAAACAGAACCTTCCTTCAACAAGGATGCCTTTTTTGCCTTCAAAATCCTTACTGGCCGCTTCTTTTCTCTCAGTGGCTGGTAAAGGTGGTTTATGATATGGTTCCAGGTGCTCCGTGTGGTAGTTTGCTCCTTTGTGGAACCCACTCTATACTGAATATCCTTGCCTAAGAGCAAGAAATAAAAGAAGAAAGAACACTTTCCGCGTACTTTTTACAATGAGCCAGACCTTTAAGGAGTCTGATTACAGTAGAGGTTGATCAACTGGTACAAATTTTTCAAGGTTTGAAGTTGGGGGGGGGATTGATTAATTGAGAATCCAGAATACCCAACTAGGACATAGAATGGATTTGGGTTTTCTGCCCTTGGGTCAGTGCCATTTCCTGGTTTACTCAGCATCCCAGACCCTTTCAGGGTTTCCATTTTCCTGACAAATACATCCATCCTGGGAAAGCAAGTTTCATTCACATGCCTGGAGTATATCAGTGTGTTGATATCCAAAGCAGTGATAGCAGACGAGCATCTGCCCATAGCAACACTAAGAAATCAACAAATAACCAGGCCTGTGACAAGTTACACAATTCCCCAAAGCTTGTGTGAGTTTATGGTCCTTTCTCTAATCTCTCCTCCCTGACATTCAGGCTCTTTTGTGCTTTCAGTCACAGCTTGTGTACAGAGCTTTGATGTCAGCTCAGCTCTGGTCACTCCCTGTGATACGACAAAGAGAAACAAGGGAGTTTTCAGCAGCCTCTCGTGGGGATTATTAGGTCAAGAGATAACCGCCATCTTTTGTCTGTCCAGGTCTCGACTATCATCCTAACCCACTGGTTCTGAGCAGCAGAAGATTCATTTGAACCTTTTAAAAGACAAACCTGGTATTTCACCTCTGGCCATTCTTGTACCCTTTTGCCTTCGTTCCCTGAGGTGTGCCTAATGGTGCAGACATGTTTAATGTAGTGACTATAGTTTTTGTATGAGCATTGCCTTGGTATGAGAATGCTTTTTGAGGCTAGAACCTTCCAAAAGATGGAACCAAGAGCTTATAAATAGCTTTGGGAATCATGTCATGCTCGTAAAGATGGTGGCTATTCCTCCAGATCTTAAGGAGAGGCAAATTCAAAACTTGCATTGGTGATTGCCTTAGGGATCTTTTTTTTTTCTCTGCCAATCTGGAACTCAACTAGTTTTGTTCGAGTTGTTGTAACTTCTGTCAGAATAAGGCAGTTTACAAATACCGTGCAACTAATATACACTAATTTGAGATGCTTATACATAGTGGGGAATTCTGTAGCTGGTGGAGATAATGACCAATGTGACTAGTGTTTGGAGGTAATGGATATTTTATGCAAGTGTCTGTTTCTCATGGCCATTTTCCTCCAAGTTGTGCCCTTAGGCCCAAGACGTTTCAAGTAATTTCTTTACTGACTGATCGTAGAGCACTGAGGTGGTGGGAGGGGGTACTGTGTCACCTGCATGGTGATGGCACCTGTTATCAGTTAGCTGATTAAAAATCCCACATCAGAACCCTCACCATGAATCCCTACCAGGCTTCACTCTACTATTGTAAGTAACAACCCCACACCTGAAGTCCACCCAATTAAAACCAAGGGGAAGGTTACATCCTGGTATTTATGGGTCAGTCAGTCCTACTGCTCACCCATTGTTCTGGTTGGATATTCCTAGCAGTTTCTTTCTCTTCTATAATACTTTTCACAGGCTCCCCGGTAAGCCCAACAATGGCCTACAGGATAATGGTAGAACAGCAAATGCCAGTTGCTTGAAAGTCCACATTTTATAGAGTCAAAAGGGTTCTCTTTTTTTTTTTATCAGTTGTGGGGCTTGAAATCAGGCCCTGATCACTGTTCCTGAGCAATTTTGCTCAAGGATACTGCTCTACCACTTTGAACCACAACTCCACTTCCAGTTTTCTGGTGGTTATTTGGAGATAAGGTGGTTACTTGAACTTTGCTGCCCTGGTTGGCTTTGAATTGTGATCCTCACATCTCAGCTTCCTGAGTAGCTAAGATTACAGGTGTGAGCCACCAGAACCCAGCTCAGAAGGGTACTTAAATATGATCCAATACAGTAACTTTAATTAAGCATCCATGAACCAGAAGTTTGGAGAAGTCAAAGACTTGCTTCATATTACCGCAGAACAAATTAAACAGCAGATCCATCTCTCCCATGAGCTCTCACCACTACCCCATTGCTATAATAGATTGAGTCTCACTTAACTTGCTGATAGTGCATTCTTCCTTAAGCTGACACCTTAGATGGTGTAGTGTTGACTTTATGTTAGCTTGGATAGGCATATCAGCCTGGTAAATGCTGAGGTTTAGCTTG